ATTATTATTATTATTATTATTATTATTATTATTATTATTATTATTATTATTATTATTATTATTATTATTATTATTATTATTATTATTATTATTATTATTATTATTATTATTATTATTATTATTATTATTATTATTATTATTATTATTATTATTATTATTATTATTATTATTATTATTATTATTATTATTATTATTATTATTATTATTATTATTATTATTATTATTATTATTATTATTATTATTATTATTATTATTATTATTATTATTATTATTATTATTATTATTATTATTATTATTATTATTATTATTATTATTATTATTATTATTATTATTATTATTATTATTATTATTATTATTATTATTATTATTACTATTACTATCACTGTTATTATTACTGTTACTACTACTAATAATAATAATAATAATGATACTAATATTATTATTACTATTACTATCACTGTTATTATTACTGTTACTACTACTAATAATAATAATAATAATGATACTAATATTATTATTACTATTACTATCACTGTTATTATTACTGTTACTACTACTAATAATAATAATAATGATACTAATATTATTATTACTATTACTATCACTGTTATTATTACTGTTACTACTACTAATAATAATAATAATGATACTAATATTATTATTACTATTACTATCACTGTTATTATTACTGTTACTACTACTAATAATAATAATAATGATACTAATATTATTATTACTATTACTATCACTGTTATTATTACTGTTACTACTACTAATAATAATAATAATGATACTAATATTATTATTACTATTACTATCACTGTTATTATTACTGTTACTACTACTAATAATAATAATAATGATACTAATATTATTATTACTATTACTATCACTGTTATTATTACTGTTACTACTACTAATAATAATAATAATAATGATACTAATATTATTATTACTATTACTATCACTGTTATTATTACTGTTACTACTACTAATAATAATAATAATGATACTAATATTACTATTACTATTACTATCATTATCATTGTAACTATTATTATTATTATTATTATTATTATTATTATTATTATTATTATTATTATTATTATTATTATTATTATTATTATTATTATTATTATTATTATTATTATTATTATTATTATTATTATTATTATTATTATTATTATTATTATTATTATTATTATTATTATTATTATTATTATTATTATTATTATTATTATTATTATTATTATTATTATTATTATTATTATTATTATTATTATTATTATTATTATTATTATTATTATTATTATTATTATTATTATTATTATTATTATTATTATTATTATTATTATTATTATTATTATTATTATTATTATTATTATTATTATTATTATTATTATTATTATTATTATTATTATTATTATTATTATTATTATTATTATTATTATTATTATTATTATTATTATTATTATTATTATTATTATCACCATTATTATAATAATGATGATAATAATAATATCAAATATTTTTAGTAATAACTTCCTTTCTTCAGTAATATTGTGCCAAATATTTCAGCCTTCGAAATGGTAATGAATAACTTGAAGGATTTTTTTCATTGATTCCCTTAATTACTCAAGTGAAACTCTTTTTTTCTTTACATTTCACATATGCGTCTTAGGCCCGTGTCATGCCTTTCAGTCAATTTGTCTCCATCTGACGCATCGTTCCAGCGTGGACAGCAGGCTTTCATGCCGTGTATGTGAAAGCCGTAACCGATGCCAATGGTTATTTATTCTCTACAGATACGCAGAATTTTATGGCCACCAGTATCAGACGCATCGAATTTTCGCCGTCCACATTTGTGCTTTCAAACCTAACCATCGGTTTCACTAAGCGATTTCACACGTGTCGACCACAGAAAAGAAAAAAAAAAATCACGGTTGCTAAACATGGACGTCCACAGCGAACCGATACTTCTGAAACGCCGACGAAGAGATAGCGTTCCCCGTAGACAGCAAGACATGGAATCGGCCCGCTTCACACACAGGGACTTACCACCGCCTCGACAATGGACGGCTAATGCGTCGAAATGGATTGTATGTCTACAGGACTGATATTATTTTTTCTCGCTTCATGATACGTGTGAAATTTAGAATGTGTGATGTATGATCGAAATTTTCACTAATTTCAGTGTTAGTTTATATCATTATTCTGGGAATTATCTCTACTAGTATCAATATCATTGCTATCATTAATCATAACTATAATGATATCATTACTATTACTATCACTGTTATTATTACTGTTACTACTACTAATAATAATAATGATACTAATATTATTATTACTATTATTACTATTACTATCATTATCATTGTAACTATTATTATTATCACCATTAGTATAATAATGATGATAATAATGATGTTAAATATTTTTATAACTATTATTATTGTAATAATGATGATAATAATAATATCAAATATTTTTATAATTATTATCATGATAATAATTATATGTATCATCTATTATTATTATTATTATTATTATCATCATAGTATCGTTATCATAATCGTCATCATTACCGTTATCATTATCCTTATGATTATAATTATTTTCTTGATCATCATCATTATCACTAGTATTACTACTATTATTACTACTATTACTGCCATAATCATCATCATCATCATCATCATCATCATCATCATCATCATCATCATCATCATCATCATCATCACCCTATAGTCCTCACCTTCCTTTTCCTCTCCCTTAATGACCTCCATTAAGATAACCATTAGGAACTCTCTCTCTCTCAAAGGCCTCCATCCATCCTCGTAAACATTGAGCGATCGCTGGTACAAATATATTTCCTATAATAAAAAAAATAAAAAAAAATACGTGCGGTAACAGTAACCTTTTCCGGTTCACCACAAGGCCTCAGGATATGATTTTATTTTTGAACGAGGGATGGAGAAAAAAAAATGGTTTTGTTATATTTAGCAGTCTCTTTTTGTTTGATTGCTTGTTTTGTTCTCTATTTCTTTTTGTATCGTTTTCTTTTTCGTTATAAAATCCTTGAGAAATAAATATTGATATTTTTGGCGATTCAACAAAATTTATTGAGAAAGCTGGTAAAAACCTTTCACAAGGTTGCATAAATATAAGGAAACATAAGTGATAATATAAATTGGTTTGTTCATTTGTACTCTGTGCCTAAACAAACAAATAAAATAAATAAATAAATAACAATTCCATTGCTCGAAACATCCATAACTTTTAAAATCTATTCTACTTACAGTTAACAAAGGCAATTAAGCATGGCTCTTGTTGTTCTTAGCATGAGAGCGGTTTACTCTTCACTGTCGCAAACCGGCTGGTGTTTGTCCTCAGATTGTGCTGTATTTTAAGAGCTAATTGTCTGAATGCGGAAGTTCTTGCAGCAGTGTTTCTCTGACCGCTGCGTCTTAAAATGCGATATGAAGATTTATCTTAACTTTTCTGATCGTCACATCATATACATTATATATGGTATATAGGTGTGCTAAGCTTTACACACGTGGGGCCTAAATAAACTTATTGTTTCCCAGTTATCATGCAATTCTTTGTGTTATTCATTACACCAATACGACAAATATTGATAACCATTCACTACCATTCATTTATAACTATACTGGTCTTTTGCAAAAAAAAAAAATATTGGAAAATGCACGAGAGCATGGACGTTTAGGGACTTTCCTTTATTCTTTCTTTTAAGTTTCTCTCTCTGTTTTACTTGCGTTCTCAATGTCAACTTTTTTTCTTAGAATTTCCCTATTGTAACTTCTCTCTTCTACCTATATTTCTCTCTCTCTCTCTCTCTCTCTCTCTCTCTCTCTCTCTCTATATATATATATATATATATATATATATATATATATATATATGTGTGTGTGTGTGTGTGTGTGTGTGTGTGTGTGTGTGTGTGTGTGTATGTATATGTATATGTATATATATATATATATATATATATATATATATATATATATATATATATATATATATATATATATATATACATATATATATATATATATATATATATATATATATATATATATATATATATATATATATATTCTGTATGTATGTGTGTGTATATATATATATATATATATATATATATATATATATATATATATATATATATATATATATATATATATATATATATATATCTGTATGTATGTGTATGTGTGTGTGTGTGTGTGTGTGTGTGTGTGTGTTTATATATATATATATATATATATATATATATATATATATATATATATATATATATATAATACATATACATGTGTGTGTGTGTGTGTGTGTGTGTGTGTGTGTGTGTGTATGTGCGTGTGTATGTGTGTGTGTATGAATATACCTGTACATATATTCATACTCTAGATATATATATGTGTGTGTCTTCTATTCATTACCCACTTTTTTCACATAATGATACTCTATCACGGTTCTCTTAAAATCTCGATAGCTATATCTTCTTACCCTATATTAATTCCGTACCTAAATATGCGTACATTCGTTTCATTCCAAATCATTTTTTTTTTCTTTCCTTTTTTCATATTGTATTGTTCATTCAAAGGAAAATGTCCATCAATCTCTTAAGTTAATCCTTTCTCTTAAATTTCAGATAATTAGAGACTCTAGAGTGAATCAATTAATTGCTATGAATAGTTATTATAGTTGTTATTGTTACTATCTATGCCATTTTCAAACTGCACAGACACGCAGTCTTGCACAACTGATTCAAATCGCATGCATATCTTCCACTCTGATTATCTCTTAACCTTTTTTTCTCGTCTAATCAAGAGGAGGCGAGATATTCCCTCGAAGAAACAAGACAAGGAGAGACCTTCAGGAGCTGTAAGATCATTGACGAATCACGCTATCAGTGGCAATCTTCGGGTCCCAGACGTCACGCCATCTTCTCGGGAGATATACCTTTTAATGGATTAGTTGCCTTGCCACTTCATCCACGGCGCTCGCACCTCCACCTCCTCCTCTTCACGTCCATCCTCTTCACTTTTGCCTTTTTTTGGCCTCTATTTCGTGAGAAAAACAACAAAATGGACGTTTTGGAGACTACATTCAACCCTCCACTGAGAAAAGATAAGGAAATGGGTGTAAGTTTGAACGCGTGAGAGTCCTTCCTCAAACCATACATTGGCAATACTCGATTATAAATGTAGGTATGCAATGTCGCGTGTTCAGATGGGGAAATGTAATGGCAAAATTCGTTTCCAGGAAGGTGGTGTCTCTGCAGAGGCTGGGCGCGACGGAGGCAAGTCAATCTCGCGGTTGAGGAAGCTTTGGGCCGCCACCACTTATGAGCCGCTGTTCCTGCTGCATTCCATTGCTTACTACGCCACTCTTGTATATCCAATTTCTCTTCTGTGTGATGTGGCAGTACTTTTTCTCTGTCTTTGGTATTTTTTAAGTTGCTTCACATATGGCTGTTACTGTCTGTCATATATACAGTAACTATATTTTGATTTTCTGCTCACAAATTGCAGACAATGACAGAGTCCCTGATATCGGAGAAGAGCTGCCTGGTGACCCTCGGCAAACCGGAAGAAATCTGCAAAGACCTTTACAAACACCCACACGATGCAATTGAGGTAAGGAGTACGATATCAAATACAAACTCTTTCGAAACGTCCTTCTTGCCATTCTATCCTGGCCTGCAAAGACCTTGACAAACACCCACACGATGTAGTTGAGGTAAGGAGTATGATACCAAATCCTAACTCTTTCGAAACATCCTCCCGGCCATCCTATTCTGGCATCTGCTTAACTCAATACTACCAAGGACTTCATTCAACAGGTACAGCAGGTTGCGTCAAAGTACATGGGAATTGCTGCATTCTCGCAGAGCTTTGTCTCCATATTTCTACTACTTTACATCGGCCCCCTCTCCGACAGGTGAGCACCCAGTTAAGAGAGTGACAAGACGTAGATACAAAATAAAATGCGTGTTAAAATGTAAATAAGAAAGACCAGCAAATGATAAGAAATAAAATCCTCATATAATTTTTTTTTCCGTAAAACTCTTACATAAGACAAACGAGTATCATCCAATATGCAATAACAGCATTAAAGAACGTAACCAAAGAAAAAAAACAACACAAAAAAATAAAAAAAAAAACAAGAACCCGAGATGTTGCCTGAACTGAAAACATCTCTTTGAGTAAATGACGTCCCTTTTTAACCCAGAGAGAAAGAGCAGCAAGTGAGTCTCAAACCTTCCCTCTCCTCAGGTACGGTCGCAAGCCCTTCCTGTACCTGAGTCTGGTGATGAAAACACTGAGCGTTGTTATATTTTTCTTCGCCTCTGCGTTCATTTACTCTCCTATCGAGCTCACTGTGGTGCGTTTTTTTTTCTTGATTTTATTTTGGAATATGTAGATATCATTAAACTTGCCCATTGAGAGGGAAACTTGCATATAAGTAATTTGATAAAATAGCAATAATAGTTAAAAAGTTTCTGAGGTACCGTAGGATAATGGTATTCATTTCATGACTATACTGTTTTGATATATACGTATATACATACATATATATATATATATATATATATATATATATATATATATATATATATATATATATATATATATATATATATATATATATATATATATATACATATATATATATATATATATATATATATATATATATATATATATATATATATATATATATATATATATATACATATATATATATATATATATATATATATATATATATATATATATATATATATATATATATATATATATATGTATATGTATATGTGTATATATATATATATATATATATATATATATATATATATATATATATATATATATATATATGCATATATATAAATATAATGTGTGTGTGTGTGTGTATAGAGATAGATAGATAGATAGATAGACAGACAGATATGCATATACGTATGTATGTATGCATGTATAAGCACACACATATATATACACATATATCTACATATATCTACATATATATATATATATATATATATATATATATATATATATATATATATATATATATATATATATGTATATACATGTATATATAAATATAAATATACATATATATATATATATATATATATATATATATATATATATATATATATATATATATATATATATATATTTTTTTTTTTTTTTTTTTTTTTTTTTTTTTTTTTATACATAAGTATAAATACATATATGAATATTTCGATAGATAATTAGTTAGATAGATAGATATTAGGACAGGTAGATAGATTCACCGCTATGCCTCCACCCACGCGTCTGCTTCAGGTGGCGCCGTTCGCGTACTCCCTCGGGGGGGGGATCGGCACTTTCCTGATGCTGGTCTTCGCCTGCATCTCCGACGTCACGACGGAGGCCGACCGGACCTACAGGCTGGGCATCCTCAAGATCTGCATGGCCTTCGGGACGCCCGCTGGCAGGGTGGTCGGCGGCCAGGTGGGCGTGGAAAGTCGCTTCTTCTTGTGTGGCGACGATTGGGCGGAAGAGTTTTGATTGCAGTGGGAATCATTGACTTTTTTCTCTTTCTTTCTTTTTTTTCTCTCTTTCTTTTTTTTCTTTTTCTTTCTTTATTTTCTTTCTTTATTTCTTTCTTTCTTTCTTTTATTCTTTCTTTCTTTCTTTTATTCTTTCTTTCTTTCTTTCTTTCTTTCTTTCTTTCTTTCTTTCCTTCTTTCTTTCCTTCTTTCTTTCTTTCTTTCATCCTTTCTTCCTTTCTTTCTTTCTTTCTTTCTTTCTCTTTTGGGTGGGGATGGGGGTAAGGGAAAGTGTAGATTCGCATTGCATGACAAGAAATGGCAGATATAGCGATGCAATGTTGCGTTGATAAACAAATTTATCAATACTGCAACCTGATAATGATTCGGACCCACCCGGTGTAGGTAACAATCTAAAGTGGTGTTGCAGACTGAGTAAGTTCGAATCTTCCTTAAACATGGTACTTATAAATAGGTAACTTATGACTAGGCTACTTATAAATAGGCTACTTATAAATAGGCGACTTATGACTAGGCTACTTATAAATATGTTACTTATAGATATGCTACTTATAAATAGGCTACTTATGACTAGCCAACTTATAAATAGGCTACTTATGACTGGTCTACTTATAAATAGGCTACTTATAAATAGGCGACTTATGACTAGGCTACTTATAAATAGGCTACTTATGACTAGCCGACTTATAAATAGGCTACTTATGACTAGGCTATTTATGACTGGTCTACTTATAAATAGGCTACTTATGACTAGGCTACTTATACATAGGCTACTTATACGGAAACAGCGATATGAACGTCAGCACTCTACTTGGCCAGGTGTTCGCTACGGGGGGCTACCTGGCGGTCTACGGGCTGGGTTTCGCACTCCTGGCCATCTGCTTCCTCATGCTCGCCTTCACTGCGGAATCCGTGAAGTTCGGTGATAATGGTCAGTGGCTCTTCATTCATCTTTTAGTTTGTATTTTTTTTTTTCGTTTTTTTTCTCGTTTTTCTGTTTTTTTATTTTCTCGTTTTTTTATCTTCCTATTTCTTCTACATCATTGTTATCTTATTATCATCAGACGATATTGTTCTGCCTTCTTTTCCCAACTTCCTCCTTTTCCTCTTCCTCTTTCTTCTTTCTCTTTTGTCCTTCTCTCATTCTCTTTCTTTCTTCTTCGCTTTTCCTTTTTTTTCTCCTTCATTTTCAATCTCTTTCTCTTTAGCTCTTCCTCCTCTTCCTCTTTTTTATTCTTCCGTTTCTCTCTTCTTTGTCTTGCAGTCTCTCTATCTTTCTCCTTTGCCCTTACTTGCCTTTCTCCTTTACCTAACCTTATGTTTTCCCTTATTCTATCCTTCTCGTTTTCCTTCGCCTTTCGTTCTCATTTTTCTTAACCCTTCCTTCTCCTTTGTCTGATTTTCTCTCTCCTTCACCTTTCCATGTCTTTCTCCGTCGTTCTCCCTCCTCCTTCTCTTTCGTCCTTCCCCCTGTTTCTCTTTCAGTCTTCCTTCTCTTTCTCATTCGTCCTTCGTCCTCTCTTACCAGTATCGTCTCTTCTGTTTCCTTCACTCTTTCTTCTCTTTCTCTTTTACCATTTTTCTTTTAGCAGTGGCGTAACCTCTCTATCTTCGTCCTTCCCTCTTTTTCTCCCGTTTCATTTCATTTCCATCTCATTTTCAATCATTCTCTTCTCCTTTCTGCTTCGTTCTTCCTTTTCTTTCTTCTCCTTTCCATTTCTTTTTCCCTTGTCCTTCTTTGTCACCAGCATCCTTTCCTTCCAACTCCCTCACCAGCCTCTTCTCTCATTTTTACCTTCGTCCTTCCATTTTCTTCACCAGCATCATCTGCCATTCTCCTCTCTGCTTTCATCCACTCCTTTCTTTCTCCTTCGTCCTCCCATCTCCTTCACCAGTATCTTCTATCTTTCTCTTTCGTCCTTCCATCTCCTCCACCAGCATCATCTGTCTTTCTCCTCTTTGCTTTCTTCCACTCCTTTCTTTTTCCTCCGTTCTTCCATCTCCTTCATCACCATCATCTCCCTTTCTCCTTCCACCCTCGCCTTCCAAGAGGTGAGGCCCAAGCTCGGAATCTCGTTGTTGGTGGAAGAGCCTGCAAAGCTCTTCACGGCCGTCCACCGAAAAGAAGGGCCGCGAAGGGGCATCGTCTACGGGGTTCTCGTCTCCCATATCTGCATGTTCTTCGCCCTGAGTGAGTACTGAATAGTTGCTCTCGCTTTGGGTGTGGTGTAGTGTCCTTATGTCCTTCGCTCTTCGCAATACTGCTAATGCAAGTAAAATAGATAGGTAATAAATCAAAAGTAAACTTTTTTTTTTTACTTTGAATGGGGCATGGTCTGTTTTATCACATATATAAGAATATGTGAATTACATCACTTTTCCAGAAAGGGGAGGAATAAGCTGTTTTAGTATACGTGTGATGTGTAACTGTGTAGCACTCCAAGTTAACAGAAGTGGTGGTAGGGGAGGACTGGCAGGCAGCAGGAATCGTCTTTTTTATAGTATATGTTACTTGGTGTCTTTACCAAGTAGTTAGATCTCCGACCGAGACCTATGATGGTACTTATAGTGTCCCATTACTTCGGGTTAATGGCTTTGGACAAGCGCAGGGGATGGGCGACTGGAACTTGGAATAAACATCATAATGGCCAGCTGCACGGCCTTGACGAGTGGCGCTCATTGAGTTTCTTTGACATATGTCACTGAGTCTCAAGGGAACTACGATGAGTTGGAACCGGTGAGTGGAGAGCGGGTTAGAAACTAACAGGGCATGGTGTGTTATGAAGCTCAACTTCACCAACTGTAATGTCTTCATTGTTACATATGTCTCTTGTTGCTGATGTTTTGATAATAACTTGCTTCATAAACTTCATAAACACGCCCGTTAGATTGCGGATAGTGAGGTATTGATGTATCATCAGGAGCATGACTGTGTGAGCCTCCATCTGTGCACAGATGAATGGGAACACTCAATTGTCCAGACAGCTTCCTGAATCCATATGTGGTACTGTAGCTACTGGCACTGACACAGATCCAAACAGATGAGTTGGTGTTTGTTCACGCATGATGGATTCCTTCTGAAAAGATAGTTGGAGAGTGTGACAGCCCAGCAGTTATGCAAATGTCTACTTTTCTAGGAGCACATATAAGAGAAAAACACCAAGGTCGTCTGATAATGCCTTGTATGACCATTGCGCCTTATCAAACGCCTCATGCATCAGAGAGATCAAGCCATCCACTCACACAATATCAATAAATCACCAATAAATCACTCCTTAATGCAGTCACCAGGGATATAAAGATAGCCATGAAAACCTTCTACTACAGTAAAATACAACACCTGCAACGAGACAGTACAGGAACCGAGCGCCCTTGCAAATCCAAGTTTCTATGCCCCCAGTGAAGGAGTAGAGTCTCTCAGTGATCACTTTGTCAGTAGCTAGTTCCTCTGGACAGACAATGTGAACAGTGTTAGCTTGAGAAGTTTGACCTGACTGTTGATGAAGCCAGTTATATTGTAGATGTGTTAGGACCAGCATGTCGTGGAGAGGCACTGTGGAGTCGAGAGATATGAGTGCATTATGAACTTATGAAGTTTGAGGTTAAGTTGTCAACAGAGAAACCTTTGTTAGGTCGGAAGAGGGCTAAACTATGTTAATTAGATGCGGCAGTTGGCATGACATTAGTGGATGCCATTGTACAGTAGTTAGGTTGCTGTTAGTAATTGAAGATTAAAAGGAATATATGCAGTGGTTGATGGCAACTGGGGATATATGAGTGCGACCTCTAGAACTGCAAGTTGCTATAAAGTTGAAGGAGTTAAGAGATGTAGCTGTATAGACTGTAGCCTGTCAGCCTTTCAAAATCCATGCATTTCTTATCCCTTGTATTTTTTTCCCTCGTGTTTATTTATACTGTTTTGTTTGGTGTCATTCTCTTTGTGCGGAAACTGAAATGAAATAGTAATTGAGCTTGAAGCTTCAACTCTTTTGTGTCATGTTTCATGTGTGAGAATCAAAATCGTATATTCTAAACGTTCCGCTAACAAGCAATTTATTGGTCTCAGCTGTGACGATTCTTAATCTTCCACCGAAAATAATTTAAGTTTTCATAACTTGTATGATACCTCGTGATTAAATGTAGATACCATGTGTTTCGTGTATTGTTTATCTCTTTACAACAGTTACAGCTTCGACATGAAAAATACATTAATATACATTTTTTTCACTCATTCTAGATCCTCTGTACTTTCTATTCTTCAAGTTAATGTTTAATTGGGACGCAACAGACTATTCTAATTGGTTTTTCTACAAGGACATGGTTAGAGCCATAGGTAAGTGCCAAGAATATTTTTATGTACACATGAACAAGGATAAATCAATTTGCTGGCAAATGAGTGCATACATTTATACATGCTCAGACGAACACCGGTATACATACATGTACGTGCACATACACAGCAGACTTAGACACACATACGCAATCACATCCAGACACGCATGCACAAACATTCAAAGAAAAGATGAAAGAGGAAAATGAAGTAGCATAAGAGTATAAATCACAATTCATCTAAAATATGGACCTAAGCAAATGAAAACCATTATGTCGATATCAATTAAATCAATTTGATTTCAATTATTCTTTGCGAACTATTACAGAAAACATACAGAAACAGAAAAAAAGAAAGACACAAACAGACAATCAGTAGGCTATAGAAAAAGACCAGGTAGACTAAATAGGAAGGGCAAACCGAAGGCGAAAAAACAACCATGCTCTCCCCAGCGCTGGTGCTGCTGATGCCCGTCTTCGTGGGCCGCCTGCGCCTCCCCGACACCGCCCTCGGGCTGCTGGGCTTCAGCTCCGTCGCCTTCATGCAGATCGCCCTCGGCCAGATCGTCAGCGCCTCCATGACGTGGGTCGCTTTCCTCGGTGAGTCCTTCGCAGGCCTTAGATCTCATGTTGTATGCATTTTTGTGTTTGAGTCAATATTCATATTAGGCTAGTCGAGTGCGGTCATGACTTGTCTCGGTGTGTAACCCACGATGTGTGTCTTGTTCCATCTTAATAGGACGCCGACGCACGCGGAGATCAACTGCCAGAATTGAAGTCTAAGTGGCCCCACTGGGTGCATGGAACTACATGCTCAAATATCAAAACGTTTCGATTTTGTATATATGTACACATCCGTCACGAGGTCTAGGCCAGTGTAAGATTTTATCATGATATTAGAGCCTGAAGGATATCCAGTTAAATGTATCCTGCGACATCCTACAGCATTGAGAAAATTCAGCATATGAAATTCCTCATATTTTTCTTTATCTAGATTGATGAATTCAAAATCCCTTATCCTGAAACATGTCTAGCCTAAAGCTCACTCAAATCCTTCAAAGGCGGAAAATGAGCTGAGCCGTCCCTCGTCAGCGTCACCTGGAGAGGCCACGTCGTAACGAAACGGCGTAAAATCGGGCAAGATTGCTTTGAACGATTGTGTCGGATTTGTCGGCGGCTGTAGCTTAAGTGCTGCTCATAAGTTCTCACTCAATGCAAATCTGTTACAGCTCCAGTGCTTGGGATGCTGGACATGTTCGCACAGTTGGCCTCACGTTCCATTATATCCAAGTGTTCAGATGGAAGCAGAGAACTCGGTAAGGTACTAGATATTAGCGTAGAAACGAAGAGAAATGTATGACAAAAGGGAGGGAGAAACGAGAGAAGGAACAAAAGAGAAAGGGAGGGAGAATGAGAGGGATGAGAAAGGCAGAGATAGAGTTATAGAGAGTGGGTATCAGTGAGATACAGAGGAGGAGGGATGGAGACAGAGATAGATGGACTGATAAGAGAAAGAGAATAAAAAAACTGTCGTGAATAGCCTAACATTAGCCTTCTTCCCACAGGAAAGCTTTTCGCGGCACAGGCAGTCCTAGACTCCATCGCCGTGGGTCTTTCAGGGCCAATGTACGCATCGGTGTACAGTTCCACAGTGGACAGCCTCCCCATGGCGCAGTTCCTCCTGGCCGCCCTGTTCATGCTCCTGTCCGTCGTCGGAATCTGGTAAGACGAGTATCAGGTGAACGAAAATACTAGTAGGTCTCAGTAGAGGAGATGCATATGCTCATACTATGAAAAAAAGTTCATAGCAGTGACTGATATGTACACAGATATAGATTTATCATAGCACACAATTAAAATCTTTATCACAAAAAAAATCGGAGTACGATGCGTTCTTACCGGAGATACAGAAATGGCCGATGCAGGTCTTTATCAAGTGGATGATTATGTCAGGGGAACACTTTTATAAACTGTTACTTCCATTGTTAGAATAGCTAGAACTTCAAAAAGAACATTCCAATATCCACACGGAATTTGACCAGCTGAAATGAACCTGTCCATGGAATTCCAGCCTTATTGCTTGGAAACTACCGCCGGCGTTGACTACAGTACTCAGTTATTTATTCTTTACCTTATGTATGTCTACCGTTAATCTTAATAAAAACTTTACTCTAGACTTCACGTAACAATAACTTTGGGAAAATAACCATAAATGAATGTTTGTCTATATTCTTGAGAAGGAGTTGCTGATTCTTGTTTCTTAAATTTTCCAACCCTCTCTCTCTCTTTCTCATTCTCTTTCTCTCTCTCTCTCTCTTTCTCATTTCTCTCTCTCTCTTTCTCATTCTCTCTCTTCTCTCTTCTCTTCTCATCCTCTCTCTCTCTCTCTCTCTTCTCATTCTCTCTCTCTCTCTCTCCCTCTCCTCTCTCTCTCTCTCTCTCTCTCTCTCTCTCTCTCTCTCTCTCTCTCTCTCTCTCTCTCTCTCTCTCTCTCTCTCTCTCTCTCCCCTCTCTCTCTCTCTCTCTCTCTCTCTCTCTCTCTCTCTCTCTCTCTCTCTCTCTCTCTCTCTCTCTCTCTCTCTCTCTCCCCCTCTCTCTCTCTCTCTCTCTCTCTCTCTCTCTCTCTCTCTCTCTCTCTCTCTCTCTCAGACAGAACTAGTATTGTTATCGCCGAATGTTAGATTTTACTCCTTTGGCATAAATTGAATAAAGGTTACAGGAAGTTTGCATTTCATTAGCTTGAATTAGCATGTAAGCATGAAAAATTATTCATGATTTTAGCCATATGTCAGTGGATAGAAGGATAATTGGCGAAGGTTCACTGAAATTATTTTCCAACCTTGAGGGTCGCCAGGTCGAAAATAAATATAATAATAATGATAATGATAATAATAATTCAACGATAATGATAGAGATAATGCTAATATTAGTATTAATAATAATGATGATAATAATCATGATGATGATAATAATAATGATAATGATAATAATAATAACAATGATAATAATAATGATAGTAATAATAATAGTAATAATGATAATAATTATAATAATAATAATAATAATAATAATAATAA